TTCCTGGGGTGCTTGTGGGGAGGGAGCCATCCCTAAAACCTGCAGATCCACCATGGGATATGTCCTCATTGGGATGCACAGCACAGCTGGGGACCATGCTCTCATTTCTGAATGGCTGCAGATCTCTGGGAGAAACAGATCCTCAAGGAGAGACTGGAGCTATACAGCCAGGCCTGTCTGGGATTGCTGGAAAATGAGCCCCAGGGGAAAGACGGGTAGCTTTGGCCGTGGCTGAAAAAAATGTGTGGTTTAGGGGTGGAGGGGTGTTTACAGGAGTTTTTTGCAAAATTGTTTTTTGTTTTGCTGTCAGAATCTGAAAATTAACCTTGATTTTTAAACTCCTCACTAACTTTAAAAGTGCCAACAGCACCAGGCAAATCCCATCTCCTACTCTGTGAAAGGGGCTCCTCAGTGACAGATTTTTTCCTGAAAATCGGATCCCAAAAGTAGGAGGCTCCCAACCACTCAGCATTTCCTGAAAATCTGGGCTGCAGCTATCTAAACACTGACATCCACAGTTCCAGGGAGTGACCACTGCAGGGGTTGTCTCATGCCTTGTCTCATGCAGAATTAATTCCAGCAATGCTCTTCCAGCTGAATCTCTCCCTCGTACCATAATTCAGGACTGGATTCTGCTGCCTACATGTCCTCACCTTGGATGAGTCTTTGAGCAGCATGAGATAATGGAAAGTGTCCCTGCAGGGCAAGAGGGTTGGAGCAAGATAATCTTCAAGGTCCTTTCCAACCCAAACCATTCTGGGATCCTATGAGTTCTATATTTTCCACTTACTAATGCCTTTTACCAGAATCCATGTCTTCTAGTTCTGGAGTTGGCATGGGGAGGGGTCAGTGTCCTCCCAGGAGCAGGAAGAGGTTCAGCATTTCCCCTCTGGGAACAGCCCCACTGACATAAAGGTGCTGGTGCCAGGTTCTTCTTTACCAAGAATTGAGATGCTGCTTTCTCAGTAGTGATCCAGGTGAATATAAGCAGCTCACAGTGAGCTGTAGCAATGGATTTCCTGTAATTTAGAGCAGAAACTTTGCTAAAAGCTTGTCGTGTGTCAGGAGGAAATAGGGACTTATATCAGAGGAAACCATGCTCATTCATTTTTATGTGTCCACGTAAAGAAAGCAGAACTAATTTTTTTTTTTTTTTTAATGTATGTACATGTAGACAGCTATCCCCATGCTTAGGCCAAGGCCAAGTTGTTCAGGACACAAAACACTCACCAGACAGTAGCAGAAATTTAAACCTGTGAAGTTCCAGTACCTGAAGGGAGCCTACAAGAAAGACAAAGAGGGGCTTTTTACAAGAGCGTGGAGTGACAGGACAAGGGGGAATGGCTTCAAACTGAAAGAGGGTAGGTTTGGATCAAATATTAGGAGGAAGTTCTTTGCTGTGAGGCCCTGGCACAGGGTGCCCAGAGAAGCTGTGGCTGCCCCCGGATTCCTGGAAGTGTCCAAGGCCAGGCTGGACAAGGCTTGGGGCAACCTGGGATAGTGGAAGGTGTCCCTGCCCATGGCAGGGGGTGGAACAAGATGATCTTTCAGGTCCTTTGCAACCCAAACCATTCTGTGATTCTTTGAACTAAAGAAAAACGCTCTGTGATGTGATGTTTGCTTCCTGTGTGAGTTGCAACAACACTTTGATCCCTTTCCCTTGCTCCTAGGCAGCCACTGGTCAAACATAAGCTCAGGAATGACAGCAACAACCACAGACATGTGGCTGGGTGCTGCCAATTCGAGTGAGTACTCCTATGAATACCTGGATGAGGAGCATTATGATCTCTATGGCCCCTGCACCAAAGAGGAAGTGCTCTCCTTCAGCAGAGTGTTCTTGCCACCATTTTACACCGTGATCTTCCTGGTTGGAATGGCTGGAAATGCCCTCCTCTTTACTGTCCTCCTCATGCACATCAAGAAGAAAAAGAAGATGACTGAGCTGTATCTGCTGAACCTGGTGGTTTCAGACTTCTTCCTGCTGCTGACTCTTCCTTTCTGGGCTCTGCACATTTCTCAGTGGGTCACCTGGGACACCTTCTGCCCATTCTTAAACGCCATGTATATTCTGAACTTCTACAGTGGCATCTTCTTTGTGAGCTGCATGAGCCTGGACATGTATCTGCAGATCGTTCATGCTTGCTCTCCTCACAGCTCCACGGTGTGGAGGAATTCCATCCTCGTCTTGTTGGTGATGTGGATCCTTTCCATAGCTCTCTCCATTCCTGATGGCCTCTTCACCAGCACGAGGCAATTTAACAACAAAACCATCATGTGCACCCATGATTATGGCCAGGAACACTTATTTTGGAAAGTTGTCTTTCAGGTTATTCAAAACACCCTGGGATTCCTTTTCCCCTTCCTCTTCATGACGTTCTGCTACTCCCGCATTGCGTGTGTCCTCCACACCTCACAGATACCTGGCTCCAGGAGAGCTCTCTGCTTAGTCCTTACTCTGGTGGGGGTCTTCTTTGTGCTGTGGTGTCCTTACAACGTTGTGCTCATCCTCCACTCCCTGCAAGATGTCGGTGTGATCAGGAGCTGTGAAAGCAGTAGGAAACTGGACTATGCCATGCAGATCACAGAGAGCTTGTCCTTTGTCCACTGCTGTCTCAACCCCTTGCTCTATGCTTTTGTGAAGAAACGGTTCAGGGCGTATTTGTGGAAGATCCCTCAGGCCATTTTCAGGAGAGGAGCTTTCTTTTCCATCCAGGACTCCCAGACGAGCCCGTCGTGCAGCAGATACACAGCTCAGATAGAAATGTTGAGCATCACAACTGCATCATAAATATTTGCATTATTTACATTATATGTGCCCCCTCTGTGCTGCATTTTACCAGTCCTGTCCATGATGGAGTTGGTGTGAGCCACAGCAGTGTGTAACCAGATAATTCATCCTAGAAACAGCCTCACAGCCTCGAGATGAGGGCTTTCCATACTGGGATTGAAAAAGTACATGTTGGATCTGTTCTGTTGCAAGTGGAATTATTATGAAAGGATTGTCCTGGATTTACACTAGTGGAAGAAACCCAGTTTCCATCTGGAGTATGTGAGGCAGTGGCAGATAAAGAAGCAGATTTCTCAATCTGCTTTTGTTGTGCTTTAAAAAATGCAAACTGAAACTTGGGAAGAGATTCTCCTCCCTATCTGAGGAATGGATTTCCGTGCTCATCCATCAGGCCAGAAACTCTGCCAGGGGATGGCTTTGCTTCTCTTGGCTCTTACCATTTGCCAGATGATTTTACCAGATTAATCTCATTTTCTACCAAAACATACAAGAGGAAGGACTGGATGCCTTTAAGCTGAGCTGTTTTCTGTCATGATGAGCTGTGCCACACTCAGACCTGCTGGGCAGGGAGCTGTGATTCTCCAAAGGACGGAGCCTAGGTTAGAGATCAGTTCAGTCATCAGCTGGTTTGAGACCAGTTTGATCAGAAAGAAGTCTAGACCAGTAACAATCACTGAGAAAGAGATAAAAAGTGTGCTCAGCAGAACAGTGGTGGAGGTATTTGCCTTCCAAGATCCAGTTGGATAAGATAAAAAAGATCCATAGATACCACCTGTAACATAAATATTGGCTTTGAAACACCAGAGAATGAGAACATGGCCTGAACAGAAGAGCACAGAGAGCTGACAGTCAGTCCTTATTACCCAGTGCAGCTTTGAAGTTCAAGGTTCTGAGTTTGCAGACTTTTCTTTAAAGGCATTATTCACCCCAAATGCTCCTGAACCTTAAATGGTCCCTTTCCATCCTGAAAACCTATTAAGTCTAGAAGTTGCCTAGAGTTGTACAAATAAAATTATTAATTTAAGAGGAAGTGCTCATCACCTTTATTTTATTACTACATAAGGTTACAGGACTGAGAAGGGCTTTGAGTTGATCACTGCTGTCATTTTTTCTTCCTATTATTGCTACAGTGTTTTTCCAAAACGGTGAGATTGGGAACTTTCCTTAAAAAAAAATAAAGCCAGAATAAATATTTAGCTGATGCTCTGATATGGCCTGGGTCAAGTCACTGGAGGGAATGTGGAAAGGGACAACAGCTGGGAAGCTGAAAAGAAGATGAAGATTGTGATCTCAGACAGAGGAAGGCTCTTGGGACTGTGACAAACTTATGATGGGATGCTCTAGGGAAGAGCAAAGGTGAGGAAATAGAGGGGAGTTAACATCACTCTCCATCCTGCATGAGAAGAGGTTCATGCACCAGAGGCTGGGACAGGCTGTGGTGACAGTCTGGGTAGACCAGGGTGGCAGCACCCAGAGGAGCAGTGCCAGGTGGGACACGGGATCCCTGACATTGTCCCCAAACCCCATCTGGAGAGAGGTAACAGGGGAGTTCGAGAAGCAGAAGGGAAAGTGAGTCAAGCAGAAGTGTTGTGGTCCCTATGGGCACTGCTCCCCAGCCAGGGGCTGGGTGGGACATTTGGAGACTCTAGACTCCTCTGGTGCCAAATGCAGTGACTCAAGCTCTCCTCACTCGTGGGGCAGCTCAGCTGCTTTGCTCTGTTCTCAGACAGAGCAGTAGCACTTGCTCTGTTCATTGGCAAAGCATTCCTGGGACACCGTGTACTGTGGAGAACACCAAAATGTCAGAGACTTTTCCTTCTCTTGGCTTTTGAGACCAAATCAGCTCAGCTGTGACCCCCTTCCCTTGGTCCTGTGCTCATTTCCAGAAGCATTGCCAACATCCACTCTTGGTTTCATTTTTTAGTGAGTGTCCACAGCCTGGTCTTAAAGGCAGAAATCAGAGAGTGAATATTTTTCTTACAAAATCTGGGCTCCATGCAACCTACAGAAGAGAATTTACCTCATGCCAAAACCCATCCCCCTGATACTCCTATGGGATTCCAACATACCTTCCACCTTAAAAATCTTCTGTTCATCCAGGGACAAGTTCAATCTGGAGCAGGGCCAAGGCAAACACTCACAGCCAATGAGGACAGAGGCTGCCTGCTCTGTATCTGCCCATCAGCTGCTGGGTGAGGATAAAATGCACATTTCTGCCCCAACCTGTCTCTAGTCTCAGCTCCTGGACGGGCACAGAGCTCTCATGGTACTCTGGGTGATTCTCCTCTGTGCCTTGGTGTCATCACTGCTCGGTGGGCTCTATGTCCTGGGTGTGTTTCGGAGACGGAGACACAATGAGCCGCCCTTGGACAAAGGTACTGTTCCCTGGCTGGGCTATCTGCTGGAATTCCAAAAGGACAGCTCAGAGTTTCTCAAAAGGATGCAGAAGAAACATGGGGATGTTTTCACGGTGCTGATTGGTGGCTATTACTTCACCTTTGTGATGGATCCCTTCTGCTTTGGCACCATCGTGAAGGAATCACGATCTAAACTGGACTTTAGGACTAATGCAGCTCAGCTGGTCCTGCGGGTTTTTGGCTACAAGCCCACTGAAGCCACTCACAGCATAGTTCATGCATCAAGCACAAAGCACCTGATGGGAGATGGCCTCACTGTCCTCACACAAGCCACCATGGAGAGCTTTCGGAGGCTGCTGCTTTTCAGCCTGAGCTCAGGGGAGAACAGAGTATGGCAGGAGGAAAACCTCTTCCACTACTGCTACAACATTGTCTTCAGAGCTGGGTATCTGGCTCTGTATGGCACCGAGCCACCCCGAGGGGAAGGGAACAAGGAGAAAGCTGAAGAGCAGGATCGCCTCCACTCCAACCAGCTCTTCCAGGAGTTTCGAAAGTACGACCGCCTCTTCCCTCGCCTGGCCTTTGCTCTGTTGCCTCCCAAGGACAAAAGAGAAGCTGAGCGGCTGAAGAGACACTTCTGGAACATGCTGTCTGTGAAGAAGGTCTGGCAGAAGGAGAATATCAGTGGCTGGATAAGTGATCAAGACCAACTTCTGGCAGAAAACGGTGTCCCCGAGTACATGCGGAATCGTTTCATGTTCATGCTCCTCTGGGCATCCCAAGGCAACACGGGCCCAACTGCCTTCTGGCTCCTCTTGTATCTGCTGAAACATCCAGAGGCTCTGCAGGCTGTGAGAGATGAGGTGGATAAAGTCTTGAGGGAGAGTGGGCAGGAAGTAAAGGCAGGGAGTCCCCCAGTTACTGTCACCAGGGACATGCTGAACCAGACTCCTCTGCTGGACAGTGCTCTGGAGGAGACCCTGAGGCTGGTGGCAGCCCCAATGCTGGTCAGAGCTGTCCTCAAGGACACCTGCCTGAGGACAAGCAGTGGGACAGAGCTCAACCTCCGCAAGGGGGACAGGGTGGCTCTGTTCCCACACATCTCCGTGCAGATGAACCCAGAAATCCACGAGGAGCCTCACAAATTTAAGTACGACCGTTTCGTAAACCCAGACGGCACCAGGAAAGATTTCTACAGAAACGGGAAGAAGCTGAAATTTGTCAACATGCCTTGGGGGGCAGGAGTTTCCACCTGCCCCGGGCGGTTCTTTGCTACTGCTGAAATGAAATTGTTTGTGTTCTTGATGCTGAGTCACTTTGACCTGGAGCTGGTGGATGAGGAGGAGGAGATCCCAGCCATAGACATCAGCCGCTGGGGATTCGGGACGATGCAGCCTGTCCGTGACATTCGGTTCAGATACCGGCCACGCTTTTAACCTGGGGACTCCTATTTGATGCTGTTTGTTCTGCTGTCACCTATGGGACAAATTGTCTGATCCCGTGGTTATCAGATCCGTGCAGCACCAACACTGATATGATCTTGTTTGCTCAATGTTTATTGTGGCTTTTGTGTTTACCTCCTCCCCATGTGCTGCTGCTGTGTTGTTGGGTTGGTTATGGGATAGAAATCTGCACAGAGAGACAAAATGTGTCCTGCCAGGCTACTCCCAGCCCCATCCCGGGGGCCATCAGCCTGTTGAAAGCCAAGAGGAGCAGAGATTGTCAGGTGGGAACACAAATTCAGGGCTTCAAGGAAGAAGGGTTTTGTCCAGGTTCCTCCCAGGGCTGCCCCAGCAGAGCATCAGCCCCATGGTCCTTGGAGATGAGTCCCATGGAGATGTGTCATCTCTGGATCACTACCTGGGAGAAGGGGGATTGTGTCAAGGCAGGGGAGACATCCTATGATGTGTAGGGGAAGAGCATTTTGGGATTGCACAGGATTTATAATAGAGTGTTTGGGGGAGGAATCAAAGGGGGAAAAAAGGAGGGATTTAGGTGATTTAGGGAGGAAAATTGAGATGTAAGGGGATGAAAAAGGCTGGTTGGTGCAAAGTGGTGACTGGTCCATAGACTTGTCTGGTCACACCCTGTTACCTGATCATTTATTTTCCACATGAAGTATCATTGGCAGGATGGCATCAGCTTGTGGTGAACCCCTGAAAGGTCAGAGAGCAGCAAATATCATCTCCAGAGATGTAAGAATTTCCTTGGGGTTTTCAAATTGTCTTGTTTATGGTTCCCTTCTTGTATCTGATGAGGCAACCTCAATCCCTTATGGGCTACAGCCACTATGACCTTATAGCCCTCAAACATATGCTTTATCTACTGGATCAGTGCAGGATAAAACTTTGCTCTACAAGTTCTGCTTTGCTTTATTACCCTTCATCAACGCTCACCACTTCCTTACAGAAGTTAAATCCAAGCCTCTCCTGTGTGGAGAGCAGTGAATTGATTTTAATGCTGACACTAACCTTGGACTTTGGAGATTATTTGTGGTCGAGGAGTGAAACTCAAACATTTTCACACGTGTCCAAACATCAGGTCCTGATTTTGCTTTGTTCTGCCAAGAACAGGGTGATGTAACTGTATGTTAAGGGCAAACTATCCCAGCCTGCCAGAGTGGTCATTAGCCCTGACCTCATGGTGGTAGTGGGAATTCAGGCAGAAACTATCAAGCAGTTGTGACAGAACCAAAGGAAACAAAAACTACCTGTAAGGCTTGACTGCGACAGCTGATATTTCCATTAGCAATTCCAGCAGCTTTTCATTCCTTCCGTGCTCCATCTACATCTCTCACCTATTTTTTTGTCACCCATGGGTTCACTACTCTGAAGCCCTTCTCACATTCTGGTCAGTTCAAGATCAGACCATGGCCAGGAATGCCTCAGGGTAGCTGGGCAGCTCAGAGCCATCATCACATCCTGACCAAGTGATGTCCTTCTTCCTAGGAAGAAGCTAGAAGCTCTTCCTAGAAGAGCTCTAGGAAAAGGACTTTTCACGTAGATGTCTTACATGTATCTTGCAGTGTATACTGTCTAGAAAGAGCCCAAGTGACCTTTCCAAACCATATCTAGTCACAAAAACAAGCCTAGGTCAGAGTTGAGGGACATGCAGCACAAATGTGGATTGGGGTTGGGGAAGGGGTGTAAAAGTAATGGCAAAGATTAAGCAGAAAAATCTGGCTTTATTTGCTCATCAGAATGGTTTATTTAACCAGACAGTGTTGAGTCTATAAAAGACCTCAGACATGCTCAAATGCATGCAATTGTGAGAGGCAAAAAAGAAAAGACGTGGAAGAGCATGAAAGATCCAAATTAGTTAATCTACAATTAAGGTTTGTTTAGATAAGTTTTTCCCTGGCGCTGAGCTTTCCATCCCAAAGTGCACCAGCAAGAGCAAAGAACCAGCCCGTGCCAATAAAAACCTGACTGGATTTGTGAAAGAAGTTAAATTGGATGGGATCCAGAGTTTTGAAAGGTTTCCTGGGGCAGCCCTCACTGCAGTGTCTGTCTTCTGTAACTCTCCTCTCCTCCCAGAGAACTAAGCACAGAGTCTGGCCCTAAGCCCTTTGGTTTCTCTCCTGTAGCACACAGTGAAAACAATATAACTTCAACATTCCAAATTTTACAGTCTATGGAGTTGGTGCCTGCTCTCCACAGCACAGGGAAAGCTGCTCTGCTCTGAGTCACAATTCCTGCTCTGCATGCTCAGCAAGGGAAGGAGTCACAATGCTCCATCTTTAGGTTTAGAACAATATGGGTTAAACTTGTTGGAAAAGAGCATCCCTGGATAAACAGCCTCACTTTTCTATTGACCTGTAATGCATTAGAGACTGTTTTCCTGTTCTCCTTCCTCTAAACACAGCCAGACACAGCTCTGAGAAAGCCTCCTCTTACTGCTGCTCATATGGAAAATTGAGGGATACATCAATCACCACAGAGAAATTCAAAGGAACACTGAAGTTATGAGTACAAAGCAATGACACAGCCAACATCATCCTTTGCAGAGGAAAGCAGGGTTTGAAGGTCAAAGAGGAACGTGACATTTCAGGATTTTTAAGAAGAATTAACACACTCAGCCTCTGCCAGGGACACTGCTGCCACATCTCCAGGTAGATGTGTCCCAGCTCAGCTTCAAAGTGGCAAAGTCTCTTAGTGGTACAAAATCTGCACGTTACAAGGTCACTGCTGGGTTTGCTGCCTTCACTGCCCAGTGTCCCTGTTCCCCCCCCCGAGTCACACATACACAGAAACAGCCTGTGGCAGGCAGGAGACACGGGTAAAACACAGGGTAAAACACAGCGGGGCCGGGCAGAGAGCAGCTCCCCAGCTCAGCTGCTGCAGGAGGGTTTGGTACCAAACACTCGGTGCAGGAGGGCACAGGGAGGCAATTCCCATCCCTCACCACATCCACGTCACTGGGCAATCATGAGGCCGTACTTGGAGCACAGCAGGCCCCTCTTCTTTTCCCGTTCCATGAGGAAATTCCTCAGTTTGGTGGTGGGGAAGGTGACCAGTGCCTGCTGCCTGTTGTCCAAACCTGTCTCCTGGAGCCAGGGGCTCTGAAGGCACTCGGAGGCTGACGGCCTTCCCCTAGGACAGACAGAGGAGAGGGGTCAGCCAGGGATCCCTGCCGTGTCAGGAGGCTCCTTGCAAATGGAGAGAAGGGGCAGCACCCAGGACGTGGCTGGGAGCACAGCCAGGCTCTTACCAAGGGTTTGCACACAGAGTGCTCTGCAGGAAGGACACGGCTCCCCCGGACAGACCCGCATAGCACCGTGTGAGCTTCAGCCTCCCCTTCCTGGCTGTTCTCAGGAATTCACAGGGTGCCTCCGAGCTGACGGGGTAGTTGGCACTCAACCTGCCCCAGAAGAAGAGAATGGAAAAACTTGAGCCTCCAGCTCTGGGCTCCCGGCATGGGGAGGGTGTGGAGCTGTGGGGTGAGTCCAGAGGAGGACACTCAGGTGAGCAGAGGGATGGGGCATCTCTCCTTCGGGGAAAAACTGAGAGAATTGGGATTGTTCTTTCTGGAAAAGGAAGACTGTTCATCAGGGAGAGCTTAGAGCCCATTCCAGTGCCTCCAAGAGAGTTGGAGAGGGACTTTGGATAAGGGCTTGTACTGGCAGGACAAGGGGGAACAGTTTTAAATTAAAAGAGAAGAGCTGTAGATTAGATATTGGGAAGAAATTCTTCCCTGTGAGGGCAATGAGGCCCTGACACAGGTTGTCCATCCATCCACTCCACCTCCCAGCTTTCCATGACATTCCAAAGGAGGGGCACAGCTGAGATTAACTCTCTGAAACTGTGATTTTAAAGCCAGTAACAGTGCAGAGAACAACCAGCTGACTCACATGATGAAGGCTGTGATTCCAATGGACCAAATATCAGTCTGGGGAAGGGCTCCTTGCTCTGTCAGCAGTTCTGGAGCTGGAAAAGTAAACTGGTGTGAGCAAGCTCCTCTCCAACACACTGAGAGCAGCACAAAGGCAGTGGATACCTTAATGCTCTGCTGCCTTCCCAAGAGGGAAGAAGAGGCAGCTCCCAGCACAGGGAGCTGGTTGAGGAGCTTCCACAGGGATGCTGATTGCAGTGAAACCATGAGAACCTCTGGGCAGATGGCAGCAATGCTTTATCCCTGGATAAATGGACACATGGGTGGCAGCCAGAGTGGCATTGCTGTGAGCTCTGTCCCCCGTGGTCTGCAGTAGGACAGCTGTCACCACTCACTGCTCCCACAAACCCACACTGTCACTGGAGAACAGCATCTGGAAGGCTTTTCTTGCTGGGACAACTGTTTGTGTCTTTGTGTTTATCACAGATGGCAGATAAACCCCAAGTGGCTGTGACTGAGCTCTACTCACCCATGGTTTCCACATAGTCCGAGCACTTGTCCATGGAAATAAATTTGTCTGGTGTGTAGAACTGTGCATTCCCAAAATCCAGGAGTTTCAGCAGGTTGGGCTCAGTGATGATCATGTTCTCAGACCTGAGGTCCAGGTGCAGGATGTTGTGTGCATGGAGGTACTCGGTGGCACTGAGGATCTGCCACAGGTAATCTCGCACCTCCACCTCTGAGTACGATGTCCTGGTGGGAGAGAAGGGATAGAAAACACAGGTGTGCTGTCTGCACGCCCAAAAATGCCTTTCTACACCCACTGTCACCCTCCCCTGGGGGTCTGATCCCATCAGACCCTTGAGAGTCAGGAAGAAACAACTCTAGTTTAGCAAATCAGCTCCGTGTGGAGAGGTTGGTGCATCCCGTGAGTCAGGTTTATAGATACAACCAGTTCAGGATGTTGTAGAGCTGAAAGAGAGAAAGAAGATCTGATGCCCACAATTCCCTCTTTTTTAATCACAGGATTTCAGCAGATCAATTTTGTGCCAGTGTGAAAAGCAGTGAATCTTCCTGACCCACAGTATCCTCCATGTTATGGTGTTGGGGTTAACAGGTGTTGGTGTAAAAAACCCTTCATATATCACATTATGGGAGATAGAGTTTCATATCAACCACTGTAAACTGCTTTTAGAATCTCAGCTGGGTGGCTCTGAGTTGTCCTGCTGTAGGCAACTCAAGTAATTTTTTTATCTCACAAGAAGATGCAGAACAAACACTTTACATATCCCATGTGCAATGACAGCACACTGGAACAGATGGATAGAGATGATCTCAGTGTGTCAGGAGAAAGCAAGAGGTATTTTCCTCCCAACAGCAGCCCTGACTGGAAACTCTTCTCTCCTGTTGGATCCCAGAAACTTGGAGTTTTTGAGCTTTCTGTGCTTTCTGGCACTGACCCCTTGGAGAACACTGCTTTTGACCTGAGGCCTTGGAGAAGGCTTCCAAATTTGAGTGATGGAGTTAAAGTCATGGGTTTATAGTTAAATAGAAATGTGTGATTTCACATGGTGAAAGGTTTGAAATTTGGGGTTTTTATAATATAGTAATAGGTATGGGACAAGATGGAGGATTTTGGGTGGTGTCTCTTTTCGGTGTCCTTCCTCCTCCTTCATGATTTCAGGCAGTAGTTTCTGGTTGGTCAGTGCTGCACTGAGGGTCACGGGAGTTTGGTTATTGGGTTAAAGGTATAAATAATATAGGTGTTAATTCTCTACTGACTGTTTAGCTTTAAGAGACTTTGTAGCAGCTGGATCTTTCTCCATTTTCCTCTCTTCTAGCTGGTGGCTAGAAATGCTAGAAATGCTGCTGAACGCTCTGTGCTTTTTGATAAGTTTTAATAAACAACCAAGCCTGAACACAAGAAAATCAGTTTCCTTCGTGTATTTTTTAATCCTGGCCCTGAGTGGAGACAGAAGAGACTGAGACAAACCACCAATAAAGTGGTGCAAACTCCCCACTGCTGTTACACCCCCCTGCTCTTACCGGAGTGCCAGGGAATGGAGCAGCTCTGGCCCCACACACATCTCCTGGATCAGCACCACGTGCCGGGGGCTGACATAGGCACCCTTCAGCTGGGCTATGTTGGTGTGGTGGAGCTTCCTGAGCACCTGGTACTCCAGCAGCACGGCCTGCTTGTCCTCTTGCCAGTAAGGGATGATTTTAGCAGCCAGGGTCTTGCCGCTCACCTTCTCCCGGCACTGCCGGACGATGCTGAACCGGCCCCTGGCACAAAGGAACACAAAGGCAAGCTGAGCTGCTCTTCTGTTCTTTAAAACCAACGGGATCCCATGCTGGTTTTCATCTGTGCCTGCTGGGGAGTTATTGCATCTACTGTCACAGTTGGCACATCCTCCTGTGTCTTTAAACTGTACAGTCACTTTAAATTATAGGAGTGAGAGCTTAACTCCTCTGGAGAGAGAGGAGAGAACTACCTCTGTTGGAAACAGAAATAAGTGTCTTTCTTCTAGGCAGAGAAAGTTGAATCCCAGCACTCTGACTGAAGTGGTGTCTGCAAAGGTTGGTGCAGCAAGAACAAGAAATTTTGTTAGCCCTGGGCTCATTTCATGATAAATCAAGTGGCTGCCCCCCCTGCCCAGCACATCTGTTATGACAGGACAAGGGGGGATGTATTAAACTAAAAGAGGGTTGTTTTAGACCAGATACGAGAAAAAAATGTGGGTTTTTTGCAGTAAGGATGGTGAAACAACCTGGCCTTGAGCACTTCCAGGGATGGAGCAACCACAGCTTCTCTGGACAACCTGTGCCAGGGCCTCTCCACCCTCACAGGAATCAGTTTTTTTCCTAATATCTAACCTAAACCTACTCTCTTTCAGTAGCCATCCCCTTGTGCTGTCCCTAAATCCCCTTATAGAAAGTCCCTTTCCATCTTTCTTGTAGGCTCCCTTCAGGTTCTGGCAGATGCAATTAGATCACCCTGAACTTCTCTTCTCCAGGCTGAGCAACCCCAATTTTCTCAGCCTTTGTTTGTAGGAGAGCTGCTCCATCAAATGTGGGATTTCCCTGTGGGTCATTAAGAACTCAGTTGGGTTCTCTACCTTTTGATCTCAGTGTGGAAGGCGTAGGTCTGGTAGGTGGGGAAGGGCTCAGGAGGTGTGATCATTTCACTCTCTTCTTCAGGGGCAGCTGCTGGGAACTCCTGCGTGGCAGCACGAGGCTCTGCAGGGACAAAGGGACAGGAGTTACATGGGAAAACAGCTCTGTGTGGGAACTGGAGCCTCTCGGGGTCTCCCCTGCTATCTATGAACAAGAAGAGCTCTCTCCAGGTGTTCCAGCTGTGGAATGCAACAGACTCTGCTCTGTCCCCTCCAAAAATTCCCTGATACTCCAGACAGAATGAGATGGCCAGTCCAGACAGAATGAGATGGATTCCACACTGTGTGCTGTGGTATCAAACATCTTAGCCACAGCTTCTTATTTTCTCACACAACAAACCCTCAGGATATGGTAAAAAAATGACAAGAAATTAGAAACTCCTTGTGGTTGGACATTTCAGAGCAGCAGCTGGGACTTGTTGCTCTGGTTCTGGTGTGTGATTGTGTCCAAGCACTCTCTGAAATACTTGAGCATCCCTTTAAAACATCTGGTTGGAAAAGCTGGACACACTGAGATATGATAATAAGTCCTGAGAAAAAGGAAAGCAGAGGACTTGGGGTGAGTTAAAAATATCTCTGTGAACTGATTTTACAGAGCAATCCTCTCCATTGGGAGGAAGTTCCAGCTAGACCATCCTTCTGTTTCTTTACAGAAAGAACATTTCCTTTGCTATGAGGATATGTTTGTTGTGGGGCCATGGATCTCTTAATTTTAAAAACACGTGTGCAGTAGTCAAAGTAGTCAAACAGGTGATAAAAATAGTAAACCGAGATTTCTTTGCTTCAGAGACAAAATACAGCTGGAAAATTCACCACAGAAGGACAATAATTCCCAATGGAAAACACTCGAATAGACAAGTTAACTACTGAATTCAGGATTTTGTCCATAATATAAGCAAGTTCAGAGTTTTCAGCAGTACAAGATCTATGTCAGTAGATAAATGCCTCCAGTAAAATATTTATTGCACAAGACCCATTTCCTCATAATCTCAAATCAAAACTGTCTTCACCAGGTAATCTACAGTTCCCAGGTTTTGGTTTTATTATTAAATTTTATATATTTACACATTTCTTATATTTACATGATGTCGTTATCTTATTGGGGTTTTTAATATGTTTATACCTATTTCCCCGTGTCCAGAATTGGAAAATAATTAGAAAATAATTTAATTTTAGATGCAAAAGCCTCAAACAACCCTGAGCAAAGTGGAACTGGCCTTGATTCACTTGCTCTTGGCTTCTGGGTCAATATCTAAAAGGATGCAGTGGGTTTGATGCAGGAAAATCCCAAAGTTTTCTTGGCGTTTGGTCTTACCCATGTGATCCTTCCCAGTGATTTTCACTTTGGCAGAGGGCTGGCTGTAGGGTCCTGTCCCTGCCTTGCTGCTGCAGGCTGTCCTGAAGTGGTAGAGGAACCCCTGGGGCAGATTTCTGGCATAGTAGCAGCAGTCAGTGATGTCAGAGGCCAGAGTTGTCCACTCCCCATCTTAAGAAAGAAAAGAGATCAGGACTCATTTTAAGGTAGTCACAATGGGTTGGAGGCTTTTTTGAGGTTTGGGATTTTGTTGTGTTTTTTGGGTTGTATTTTTTTTTCCCCTCACCAACTTTGTGTATGTGCTGGCAATGTGGAGAAACCAACTTACCATGGCCAACTTTGGGGCTGTACCTGTTATTCTTCTTTAAAATCAGCTGGTTTATATCTGATCAAATTCCAACTTGTGCCAATATTGTTCCAGAGGAGTCGTGAAATTTTCCTCTATTTTTTCTTTATCTAATTCATGCTACCAAATTCTACTGGAAATATACATCAAGAACTCCAAACAAAAGATAAATCATGATTTTATTTTTTTTTCCTGTTGGCCCTGTCTTGAATCCAGTTGAGACCACGAGGTGCAGGATTCCTGGACAGAACCATCCACTAACACCATCCCAGCAAACCCAGTGTTTGACACATGGGCAGTTTTATTCAGCTTTTATGAAACTCAGATGATTTCTCATGGAATTGGAATTGTAGGTAGATTCTGGACTCATTCATGGGACTAAGTTAGGAAGGAGAAAATCCTCAGCAAACATTTAATCAGCATTTCCCCCACATGATGCTGTGTCCCCTGTTTTGCTGCTGTGCTCAAGGCTCAACACAACTCCCTGCAACTGCCTGGGATTAAACCTAATTTTCCATTCAAATAAACTCTGGCAAAGAGCCTCAAACCATTAGATAAGCAGCAATTCCCCACCCAAACCCAAGGTATCAATTATTTTACAGGGTACTGCTTGAACTGGGGGCTCTTTGTGCAAGAGGAAACAGATACAGCTCAGAAATAGAGAAAAATATATGCAGAAGTAGCATAGAAAAGCCTGTTTTCAAATAATGGAAAAACAAGAAATTGATTCTTGATTATTTTAATCCTTCTGTGTTTAGGAGAGCAGGATTTTGCATGTTCCTGCCAAATACACAGAACACAGTGGAAAATTGTAGATGCTGTTTCCTATTTTTCTTCCTAACTGGAAGAATTTGTGTTTTTATCCTCCCCAAATTCCTGCGTTGTGTCAAAAGGAATAACGAAAAAAAAAGGGGTGTTGGGGGGAAAGTGACTCACACCTGCTCCAGAGGGAAAGGGCAGAAAGTTGCTGCCCATGCTAATCCAGAAGGGAGTGTCCCTCTGCTTGTTTGTTGGGAGAATTAAGTGAAGGAACGTGGAACAGCTGAATCCAAAGGGCTGTGTTTGTGTGGCTGCAGCAGGAATTGCTATCAGACAGAACACTCATAATAACAACAGCAAATCCATCCCAAGAGAGGCAGAACAGCCTTGGGGATTTGATACAAAGCTTTTGTAACTAAACAGGAAAACATCCCCTTTTGACAAGGGCAGATAGTGACAGGACGAGTGGGAACAACTTTAAACCGTGAGAGAGACTTAGATTAGATGTCAGGAAGAATTTATTATTCCAAGGGTGGTGAGGCCCTGGCACAGGGTGCCCAGAGAAGCTGTGGCTGCCCCTGGATCCCTGGAAGTGTCCAAGGCCAGGTTGGACACTTGGAACAACCTGGGACAGTGGAAATGTCCCTGCCCATGGCAGGAGAGCTGGAATTAGATGATTTTTAAGGTGCCTTACAACTCAAACCATTCCATGATTAAACGATCCTCTGACTTTCATCAGCCTCTGGGCCAGGCCTCAAAAGAGAGTATCAAAGGGGTGATGCAGTTTTGTCAAACTTTGGTTATCTTGTCCTGGCTCTTTGCCCTAAGCTTCTTCCATATTTCTTTTCCAGTGGGAAAAGTAAGCACAGCTGTTCAGCAGAGGATAAATTGCCTGTTTGATAAATCATCTTTCTCCAATAAAGCCTGAGCCTGGGATGATATTGTTTCATTAGTGTCTAATTTTGTCAGGTTACTCAGAGCTGCCTATCAGACCAGGCATTTTCTCCTGTAGCTGCTCACTTTTTGGTTGTAGCTTTCACACAGCCTTGTTTGATTCACACTTCAGCAAAGCCTTGCTGTGAATATGCCAATTCCAGGCTGCTTTAACCAGCACAACCCCTAACTTTTAGATGGTTAAATCATACCTGTATGAATCCCGTTCCTAACTCTAAACTGGGGAATTAAATCAGGCTGTTTCTGAATAACTAAAAAATATTATCCTAATATCCAGCTGGTGAAAAGATCATACAAACTGAGATATTCCTTGCAAAGCACAAGGACAGCACTTTACCTTCAGTCTTGCACTGGACAGTGTAGTGGACAGGGGTGTTGGTTTCCACAGGTTTCCAAACCAGCTGCACTCCATCCTTGTAGACCTCCACGACATCAGGGGGTGGAGGGCTGGGGGGAACCTCTGTGGAGAGGAGGCACAAACCCCATGAGTGTTAACAGCAGCACTGCTGTGATACCAAACTCGACATCCAGCATGTCTCAGCTACACATATTATTTATATATATATAGATATAAAACATGTGTATGTTTTTTATGTATACATATATATACACGCAGCTAGGGGAACAGCAATTTTACCGTCTCTAATTTAAACTCAGTACTAAGATTTTGTCTTGGAGTGGCTCTTAGTCCAGGAGAGAAAACAGAGTGAAGAAGAGGGAATGAACCCTGCCTGGACAGGCTGTGGACCACAGCAAGGGAGAAATCTTCCTCTGCACCCATGTGCAGAAATCTCACCCCAAAGGTATTGACAGGTTTTATTTTGGGGGGCAGAACTACTTAAATACCTATTTCTGTAGCTACTCCTTCTCTCACCTGCTTTTCTCATGACACAAGAGGTGGATGCTGAGCCCAGAGAATTTGTGGCCACGCAGGTGTAAATACCAAAATCCTCAGCATTAACAGAGAGGATTGTTAACAGCTGGAAGTGTTTGAGCGTGGATGAGATGAGGATCCGGCTGCTGCTCTGGACAGGGATTCCATCTGGAAAGCAGGAGATAGGAGAGATAAGTACCTGCTGTTGGGATGGATAGGGATTTGACAGGAAGGTCTCACAGATATATATGTATAACAGAAAGATTTTTGAATATAGAATCTGAAGGAGGAATAGAAATGATAGCAAGTTTTGATATAGAAAAAAGAATTGTTGAGCCAGTGTGACTGGATAACTAAGAAGCCAAAGGGTATGTTACTTGGAAGGGGTTTTTATGACTGAGAGCAAAGGATAAATCCAACTAGAACAAAAGATGTTTTTGCCAAGCAAAAAGATTTCACAGGCAAACAAAAATGCCAAGGTTACAAGTGGAAAAATGGTTTCAGAATTTTTCACTGCAAGAAAACGGAAAAACAACTCCTAGCTTAAACTGTAACATACTAATTTTTTGTGATTGGAGAAGAGTAACGTGGATATGGTAATGCCAGTAGTTAGGATAGGCTATAGGTAATAGTAAAGGTGTTGATTGGTTGTCATGTTTTAAAATGCTCTACAATGAAAAGTCTATAATGCATTGTAATCAGAACTAGAGTTGGCTTCAGACAAATCTACAGCTGATGCTGACTGCTGTGGGCTGGGCTCTTGTCACCCACGACCCGTGAATTGCTGGATGATCTCGGTACAATAAACAGCATTTTAAAGAGCCAGCCTGGAGCCCCGCATCCCTTGTTTCAGCTCTTACACCCTGCAAATTGATACGAAGGTGTTTAAAACTCTCCCTGTCCTGGCTGAGAGCTTTTATTTTGCCAGGGGCTCCGGAGGGATGGCAGTGTCACCTCTGAACCAGGCGATGTGCAGGGAGGACAGAGCTGCTGTCCGGCACGAGAGCGTCACGCACTGCCCGGCGGCCGCAGCCTGGTCCATCAGCTCCTCCACGAACGACGGGGCTGCACACAGGAGGGAAAGAGCTCGTTCAGAATAACCTGGAAAGCTTTATGGAAAACAAATCCCTGCAGGACATCAGAAAGTGTTTTTTAACGGGGTCAAGAAACCTCTCTGGTTCGTTGTCTCCCGTTCCTTTGACCACCCATTTGGAGAATCCCTCGGGCACAGAGCACGCAGGTGAAGGAACTCTGTTCACCCATTGGGTGTGGTGTGACAGATCCAAATGGATCTTGGAAAAATCCATAGGGAATATCTGCATTGCCTAGCCTTGGTACAGCTAAAGCAGCAGGACAGCTCAGAGCAGAGAGAGACTCTGTCACAGCAAGGGTTTTCCTTTGGCTGAGCCTAAATGTGGGGAAAAAACTGAATTATGGAGTTTCGAGGATGAGGGGATCGAATAGGACAAGAGGAAATGGTGTCCAGTTGCCCCAAGGCAGGTTTAGTTTGGATATTAGGGAAAATATCTTCATGGAAAGTGTTGTCAAGGACTGGAGGAGGATGCCCAGGGAGTGAGCATCCCTAGAGGAACTTAACAGATGTGTGGCACCTGGGGATATGGTTTAGTGGTGGCCTTGGAAGTGCTGGGTTAATGGTTGGACTCGGTAAACTTAGAGGTCTTTGCCAACTAAATGATTCTATGGTCAAGACAACACAAGAAGAGAGAAGAAAAAACCCTACAGAGCATCAAATCTGCTCCTGTCTCCATGGGAAAGGGGGAACTCAGGTTTTCTTCCGTGTTTCTCTGGGGTTTTTCTCCACAGTGGCCAGGGGCTGCCAACCTTCCACAGCTGCCCTTCCCAGTGTTTGTCTGGGCTCTGCTGAATGCTGGGACAGTAACATGACCTCAGGAAATGCTCCTGATGGAATCAAGGGGAAACTTGCCAGGGAAAAAAACAATTCTTTCCTGAATCACCCTCTGAGGGTAAAACAAACCAATGGCTCCTGCCAGAGCAATACCTTTCTCCTTTGGGGTGAGGCTTGGTAGCTTGAATGAAGGCAGCGCTGATTTCCTCTTCAGGGATCCTTCAGCCCCTATTAACAGCTCCTTTTCTGCTGCCTCACTTCCCAGCTCACCAAACTCTGCTGTGAGAAACGATGAGGAGTCATTCAAGGCCATCCTTCTCCCCGTGGCATCTGTTGGCAGTGACAGTTCTGCCTTCACACATAAATAGTCACCGGTTCCCTTATTAACCAGAGTTTGATTAACAGGGAAGTCTGTGACAGCTGCTGCAAACAGAACAGTGTCCTAGTAAAACAGGGAATATCCAGGGATGGCAGAAGAAAGGACAGATCCCCATGTCCAGTAACCAGGGTGGCTTCAGCTTCTCCCAGTCACTTTAACCTGAGAGATTTGCCATGGTCAGATGACAACAGCAGCAAGGAAAGCATCACCCAGCCCTGATCTGCTTCTGTGCAACCTCAGACAGGGAATTGGAGCCCCTTCCATCAGTGGATTAACCCAGCTGACTCTGCACAGAAGCCAGCCAGTAACAGAGGCCTGATGGTGGAGACTATTGATTTCAGAACCTGCCAGGGCCAGATTTGCAATCCCAGTCTAACCACAGCTTCAAATATGCTGGGGAAAAGAAAAAGGCAGCTTTAGCAGAGCCCAGTTATGGCAGAAAATCTGTGAAGGAACAAAGTGAGATAATTACCTTCCTCTGGCTCAGGAGATGTCTTTCCTTTTAGGATTCTTGAAATATGGGCAACAGAAGCTTTTACTTTCTTCTTCAGACTCTGCTCCACCGACTGCTCCACAGAATGAGACCTTGCATATGGCTTAAAGAGTCCAGGCTTGGTGTGGAAGGAACTTTTCTGTTTCCCACTGGAGTCCTTTTGGGAACTATACATTTCCTTATGGCTCTCTGCCCCTTTCCCCATGGCTAATAAGTTATCTGCCTTTGAACCCTCGGATATTTCCAAACGGTTCTTCCTGTTCTTGTCCTCCTGTTCCCTGATGCACAGTCTTTTATCCTTATGGAGATGTCCTGCAGGAGGGGACCTTGCCCTTTCACCAAGAAGCATAAACCGTCTAGGAACTGGTTTGGGTGATGGCTTCTTATAGCTCAGAAACTCAAATGGGAAGTAGACAATGTCGTACAAATCCGAGAAATTCAAATAGGCAGGCTCCACTTCTGAGATGTCAAATTTTTGGGGGCCACTGCCAGGACTGGGTGCTTCATCTGACAGGTCTTTGATTTTCACCAAGGAAACTTCCGGGTGTTTCTCAGTGTCCTTGGTCAGTGGCACGTGGATGGGTCTGTTTGCAGTGTCCAGGCTCTCCGTGGAGGAAACGCTCTCCCGGCTGGAAGGGGACATCTCAAATGCCAAATCCTCCAGGTGCTCACATTCATGAGGGACTGTCTGTGCTTCTTGCTCTTCCAGGACTCCTGGCTCCTCACTCACAGACAGGTAGGGTTCTGCAAAGTCATCCTGCACAGCGATTTCTCCTCCTCCATCCTGCTGGACAGAGGAGAAGGAGGTGTCCGTGTGTGCCTGGCTGCCTTTGTAGAGCATCTCTCTCTGAGGAGAAATGTGCTTCCTGCTCCCCTTCTCTCCAGAAACTGACTCTGCCCAGACATTCATCTCTTCAGAGAGGGAAACCATCTCGTCCACCAAGCCCTCCAGCACAGCAGACTCCTCATCACTGTAGAATGAGGATCTGTGGTGTGGCAGCTCCTGACCGTGATCCCTGTGCAGCACTGGTGGGGCAGCTGTTCCAGCATCACATCTGCCACTTTCTAAGGCAATGCCTCCACCCTCACCATAATCCTCTGCATATTCCTCATATTTCAGTTCATAGGCTGAAGCTGGAGCAACTCCTGGTTGTGATGCAGTTAAAACACCTGAACTGCCATTCTGCACACCATCCAAAATCCCAGCCCTGTGCTGCTCTAACACCCCATGTCCAGCCTTGGGGAAAGGAGCAGCCACAGCTTGTCCAGCTGCTCGGCTCCCAGTTGCTGTCACAGCAGATCTCATCTCACTGTGAACTGACACCTCTGGGTGTTCTTGGTTTTCACTCTCCCAGACCTGAGGGAGGGCAGTGCTCTGGGAGGACGCAGCTCTGGCTGGGTGTCTGCTCTCCAGAGCAGCAGGCTCTGAGCCATGGTCTTCAGGAACCTTCTGGAGTTCAGCTCTTTCATGGGCCAAACTGGAAACAACCTCTGTGGCAGCTGAGCTTTTACTCCTCAGAGCAGCACGTTTCTCCTTGCTGAGAGCCCGCTGTGCTCCATCAGAGACCAGAGCTGGCACTGATCCTGGGGTTGGGATTTTGGGAACAGCGAGTTGCTCTCCCTTCAGGACAGCTGGTGCTGTGTCTAAGTGAGCAGGAGCCTTCTGGTGTGCTTGGCTTTCATCACCGTGGGACGATGGTGGAATGGTTCCTGTAACAGCTGCATCTTCCAGGACAGCACATCTCACATCTTTATGGGTCTTCAGCTTCTGAGGAACACCTTCACCAGCTGTGAGGGTACCTGGCTGTTTGCCCAGCATGGCAGTAGCTGCTGGAACACTTTTCCCAGGAATCTCCTCACTTTTGTTTTTACATACTGGAAGTGAATCAGTTTGTTCTGTTGGACCAGCAGAGCTTTCATGCTCCATGAGTTCAGATTCAGCAGTGCCAGGAGCAGAAGTCTTTTCATCTGAATGTTTCTGCCTTTTGTCTTTCCAAGGTGGGGCTGGGGCTGTCCTTTTGATAAGCAAGCTTCCACCTGTTAGCTCTGGGTGTGTGTCAGTGGGAGCAGACTCCTGGGGCAGACACACACCTCCCTTACTCGGAGATGACTTTGGGGTGGGCTCTGACTGTGTGAGGGTTGAAATGGAGTCTTTGCCCTCCTGAAAACCAGAGGCAGAGGCAGATTTACCCTCTGTGCTGTCGTGTTTTGGAGCTGATGGTGCTGTCACATCTGAGCACTGGGCGGTTGGAATGGGGCTTTTGCCTTCCAAACATTCAACATCCTCCTCAATCTCCGTGGCTTTTGATTTCTTCAGTAAACGCTTCCTATTCTCACTCCTCTCAGGTGACACTGGAAGCCCCTCTACCTGTATAAGAGCAGGTGGGCACCCATTCCCCTCACAGTGTGTGGAGGGAGAGGGCTTTTCTCCTGAGCAATCCTTGCTGGCTCTCCCGATGTCCCCTTGCTCTGCTGTGCCCGCAGAACATCCCTTGCCAGGCCCTGCGGAAGTGTCACAGTGATCACTGCCTTCAGGGCAGCTTTCCTGGGACAACACATCACAGTCCTCCTCCAAAATATCCTGCTCCCTCAAGGATCTGGAGGCTCTGAGCCTGTAGTCATCCAGGGAGCGGCTGCGGCTGGCACCAGCAATGGCAGGGTGTGGTGGCTTCCTGGCACTGTCAAACGATGCAGATTTGGTCAAGGATCCCAGCAGACTTTCCCTGCGATCATCTCCCCCTTCTTCCTCCTCTTCCAGTTCAAACTGCTCCAGGAGGGGCTCACGGAGGCCACTGAGGGGCACCTTTGAGTAGCCAGCCTTGCGGAAAGTCCTCCTGGCTCTGTCCAGGTGCCTCCTGAGCTCCCTGCCAGGTGAGGAGGGTGGCCTTGCAGGCAGCTCAGTTGCTTGGCTGTAGAAGGTGCTTTTAATGACACTCTGCCTGGGAACACAGGCAGATGGCTTTTCTGTCCCATCCCCTGCCGTTTCAGGTAAAGGTGTGTCTGGTTTTTCTTTCTGGTGCAGAAGTGATGTGCTTTCCCTGGAAGCCCTCGGGGATGAAGGCTCAGCAGTGCCACTTTTTTGGGGTGGCTCTTCCTGAAGGCTGGGCAGGAGCCCCTGCTCTTTGTCCTGTAAGATACCTGCCATGAGCTCTTTGCTTTCTGTGGGTGGTTTGTGCCCCACCTCAGCTTTCATGGAAGCATATTTCCTCCTCGTGGGTTTTACTGGGGGGATGGAGCTTTTGGAGTGCTCCTGTTCACTCGCACATTTCAGAGGCTGGGGATGGCTTGGGGCATCAAACACAGGCAAGTGCAGTTCAGGGGTGGAGCCAAAGTGCTTCTTTTCAGGGAAATTCGAGTTTTCATTGTCTGAAGAGGAGCCACTGGTGCTGGATGAGGTGCTCTCCTCAATGAGGTGTCGGGAGATGGCCAGGGAGCTGTTGTCATGGGTCCTTTCCAGGATTTCTGGGATGGATCTCATCACCAGGATGGATTTGTAGCACATCAGGGAGCGCTGGGAAGGAAAACAAGACACAGCACAACATGGTGGGAGTATGGAAAGCAAAGACACCAAAATGAACTCCTGCACCCCTAAATACCACACCCATAATTAGACACTGCCACCCTCTGCACATGGAACCAATCCTGGCCTCATTTTCTCTCCAAGTCTTACTCTTCCCTCATTCTCTGACATGAAATTAAATTGATTTCAGGGAACACATTTGCTCTTGTGACTGGGGAAAACAGGACTCTCTTCAAGAATTCCAAAGTCAATCTGGCCATTCAAAACAGATGGAAAGGAGTTTTTGATGGAAAAATCAGATGAGAGACTCGCTGGAGTAAATGGCTTTAAATCCTTTGACTGCAATACGACCTAGAGTGACTTAACAGAAGACCTACCAAGTGTGGGAGATGGGATTCCTCTGCTCTAAATTCTGCCATGTGGGGCATCTCAGTTGAAGCTGGGCCTCTCCTTCTGACCAGCTGAGAGAAACTGGCATGTTCAGAAGGCAATCAGTCCAATTATTTGAGAGAACTTCAGGAAAAAGAGGCATTTTCTTGGCACATATCTGTAATTCAGCTCCGATTGCAAAGGCACCTAACTTAGACACAACTTTGTGTCTTAAAAGCAGTAAAAGCCTAGATAATTAATTTCTGACACATCCATCTCTCCTGGGCTTTTTCCCAGCTCCCAGCCATGCTCAGATCTCTGCTGAGCTCGCTGTCCTAGCCCAAAAGATTTTCAAAGATTCAGATGCAATTAAAAATAGATATAACTAAACAGAATCAACACAAATCAAGGGCAACTCACCTGCCACTTGCTCCGAGCCACAATGAATTTGAGCTGCTTGGTGTTAATGAAATGAGCTGCTTCAAGAGGGACATTGTGCTGCCAGGTGAAATGAGAGGAAAACTTGGTTAGAAAAAATCCTGATTTCATTTCTCGAGAAGTTTTTGTGGGTTTTTTAAATAATTCTCTCTTTACACAATTGTTTCATTTAGGAAAGCTACAGTAGATCAAATTCTGCAGCCCTTTCATAGTTCAGTTGCAGACAAAATCAGCTTTTCGGTGATTAAATCAAGCCCTATTCAATATTTGTCATAAAATCTCTTTTGCTGTTGTTAACTTTAACTCTTTTCCTTAGTGATTTGAGGCTTTGGAATATAAACCATAACTTTGGTCTGCAAGGCCAGTTTCCTTTCTGTACTGACATGGCAGCACAAGAGGGAATGGCCTTGGGTTGCACCAGCGAGGTTTAGATTGGATATCATGGGAAAACTGACTAATAAAGGACCAGGACAAACTTACCATGAACCATTTGTGGGAAAGACAGTCCAAAGCACTTGGCCTGGATCTGGGAAGAGAACAGATTGACATTTGAGTAGGAAATCACCTCCAACAGCAATCCCTGATCCTGCTGAAGGTGCTGCTGCTTGCAGACACCCACGAGCACTCTGGGGTGTGTCCTTAGGATGCTGGTTTGGAGCACAGAAGCCAAAAAGACACAGCAGCTTCCAACTCAAGGTTTCCTTCGGGGAAAACATGCTCTTTTTTCAGTCTGACACTCCCCAGAGATGCTCAGGAAGAGCTCATGGCTTTCTGCAGGGTGTCCAGAGCAGCTCTGAGAGGGACTTTGCTTCTTAGGTGGCCAGAGTGAAAATACAGTGAAAATAGCTTTGGCAGCAGGCATAAAGAGTAGAAATGAGATTAAAATCAAGTGTCTGTAAATATGCCTTCAAGCCAACTTTTGTGCTTGAAATTGCTTAATGAATGTGGTCAATGTTATTTAATTCCCTCCATGCTCTTCCCACTCATCTGTGTCATTCCAGAAACTCCTCAGCCTGGAGGAGGCAGAGAGCAAGGACATCACCCCACCAGAGAGAGGCCAATTTGGCAAATATCCGAGTTGTGGGTTGGGTAATATGGAGCAATAAGGAAGAATTAGGGCAAAGTGCACCCATCTCACTCATCTTTCTACTTTTCAAACCAAATGATGAGCTGGGATGTGCCTGGGGGGGACACCAACAGCTCTGCACAGAGGGAGGCACAGGAGGGCACTCACTTGGGGTGCTGCTGCAGGATCCCCTTCATGAAGTCCTTTGCATCTTCACTCAAGTGAACAACATCAGGAATGGTCCATGAAATCTCCCCGTTCTGGATATTTAGGAGAGTTTTCCTGTCGTTCTCCCCAGCAAATGGAGACTTGCACGTGAGGCTTTTTTATTGAGCACCATAAAATGAAAGGAGACAGGTTTTAGGTTTCTGGTTTCTGTTCAAATGACAGAAGCACAAATGCTCACATGGGGTTTTTAAATACTTGAGGGGCTCTGTGCCTGGGACTTGCAATGTTCGTGAGGAGCAACCAGGAAAGGAGGAAACCACAAAATAAATTGTTCTTATTATGGAAGGACTGAATGCTCCACTCAAATCTCTCATTTGAAAGTACTGGAGGGCTCTGATGGACAAAGGACTGAGGGAGGTTTTCCAAGATTTATTTACCTTAAATATGTGATGACTCCAACAGCCCTGAGGAGAGAGGGAACACAAATGTCATTTTTGTCACTGTTTTTCCATCCTTCTCAAGCCCCTTCTCCTGCCACTAGACACTCTGGAACAGCAAGATCACTTTCTCATCACCTTTCAAGGTTAACAAATCCCAAAAGCTATTGGTTTTTTCCATTCATTTTTCCCATTCAATATTTTTTTTAATTGTTCTCAAGCAATTCTTCATTTTTAAAGCACAGATAGAGTAAAAGACTCAAAATGCTTTTTTTTTTTTTTACTTTGTTTGCCTTTTCTAGAAAGCCCTTTAGGATCATTCCCTCTAGTTGCTGCCTGGAATAGAGATCATCTCCTTGAAGATGCTCCTTTGCATTAATTAGCAGTCAGAGTTCAATTATGGCTGAAAAAAAATTAGACAGGAGGAGCTTTAAAGAGCCTTGATGGCTTTTGGATTGTCAGCAATCACTTTCAGTTTCCTGTGTTATTATCAGTGCTCCATTTATTAATTAACAGCTAATGGAAATTCAGGCCACTGAGGGCCTGGAAAAGCTTTTTGGGAAAAGGAGAGATTACCAGATATCAGTTGCTTTTGACACTGGTGACTGGGAAACAATTTCTGGGGCAACAAACTCTGGAGAGCCGTATTTGCTGTACTGAGGCTCCACGGGTGTGATCCTCTGGGCAAACCCAAAATCACAGATCTTCAGGTCTTCCCTCTCAGGATAAACCATGAGGATATTCAGTGGCTGTTGAATGGAAAAAAAAAATTAAATAAATAAAGGGGGATTTTTTTCTGAGTGCAGAGAGTATTTTCAGTTTTAAGAATAGTTCAGAGAACATCCAATCCCTGGCCAACAAGAGGCTGGGAAAAGCCAGACTGGTGGTTGCTCATTACCTTGATGTCCAAATGAAGGATGTTGTTGTCATGAAGATATTTGATTCCTTCCAAAATTTGCTTGATGTACAGTTTGACCTAAGAATTTAGTCAATTATTAAACAATTAATAAATAAACAATTATTAAACAGAGAGAGTAATAGAAGAGTTCCTGATTTCACCAAGATTTGATCTTTAAAGGTCCCTCCCAATCCAAACCATTCTATGATGTTTCCCTCTGAGAATTTCTAAAAAAAAAATATAATTATTTTACCAGTAAATATTGGACACCTGGCTAATACATGGGAGATGTGAAACATTTTTAACTTTTAGCATCAAAGATGTAAAAAAAAACCTCTTAGAAACCATAATTGCAGCTTTTCTTTTGAAGACAGAAAGGGAATAGATAGAATACAGTTACAATGGGATAAAGTGGTATTAAGTAAGTGGAGATAGGAGCTCTAGATGACAGACAGCAAAGAAATTATGACAATAGAGCAAATACAATCTTTTTTTTAGGCTGGTGGCCAAACCCCCTGGCTGTTTGTAGCAATCCCCCAAAGAAACCCAACTAGCAATGAAAGTTGGTAGGAACAGGTTGTAAAGACTGATTCTGCTTTGATAGATTATCACTGGTTCAAAGACATTTTTATATTCCAGAAGGAAAACGCAGAGAGAGCCAACTCTGGGCTTTCAAGTGAGAAGTTACCTCAGCTTCAGTGACCACACTCTTCTTGAATAATCTGTCCAGGAGCTCTTCATTGGAGCATCTGACAGTGGCATTAAGGGACAACAGAGCCACGTGGAAAAGCTTATTTTGACTGTGGAACCACCTCCATCCAGCCAACAGCAGAATTCATGATGTGATCTCAGGTATTGAAAGCCTCCTTGCAGAACCTGCTCTAAACCTGGTACCACTTCTGCTAAAAGCTACCTGCTGATTATGGGGTTTCTGTTCTGCATTTCCCTCATGTTCACCCAGACTGGATCTCACAGAAAGAGATCTCATAACTTCCAGATGTTTCAGAAAATAATTTTGATGCTTAACCTCTCATTCACCCTTGTGTATACAAATCTGATTTTTCTCACCCAGCAGAAGCTGAGGACTGCAGTGGAGCTCTCACGGAGTTGTGCTATCCTGCAGTGCAAAGAAGGATTGTGTGTGTCCTTTTCTCTCAGGGAAAGCCAAATAAAATATATTAATTGCTTAGATATTTAATAAATTAGCTCTACCCAGTACTCCCCAGCCTCTTCAGACAACTGCACAAGAAAGGATACAACTCCAGAATCAAAATCAGTGTTTTTCGTGTTTCAAACTCATCCAGGAGCCTGGTAATTCTGTCGTGGGACAGAGAGGCAAGAATATCCCTCTCCTGATGAGCTCGAGTCCTGGTTTTGCTCCTCAGAGGGATGAATTTGGCAGCACAGGACACCCTGTTCCCTTTGTGCACCACTCTTTTCACGAAGCTGAAGCAGCCCCTGTGCAGGAATCGAAGGACAAGCCGTGATCAGACCTGGGCAGAGATTCTCCCACAGCCTGGCCTTTGGCAGCTCCCTGCTGCTCCGTGCTGCAGATCTCCAGCACAAGAATTTCATTTTGCTGTGTGTGAGGTGCTGTTGCCCTCTCCTGGCCGTCTCCATAGGGAAGCAATGTGTTCCCATCAAGGGAAAAGCTGCTGCAGTGGATGCAGGCTCATGCTGGTAAAGGTTGGTGCTCTTGGATCCCTTGGGCAGACCCGATGTGACCCTGGGGCTTGGGATGCTGCCAAGAAGCCACATCCAGGCACTAAACTGTGAACCTTTGCATGTTTGTTCTGGTTGGAGCTGCCCCAGCACACCTTGGAGTGACCTCCCACTTCTGTCTTTATTTCCAACTTTGCAGACTTTTCAGCAGCCACCTCTGCCTCAGCAGCTCAGATGGGCAATGAGATATTCCCTGCCAGTGATGCTGTAGAGTTGGAAAATTCATTTACCTTCCAATCTCCTGCTTCACCTCATAATGGGAGTGGAGCTTTCTCCTGGTGGCCACTTTCTTTCCTTCTTGGTCTTTCTTAGCTTTGGAAATGAAGGAAAACATAAGGGTAAATATTCAGTATTCATAAAGGCAAATATTCAATAATGCCTTGCTAATAGTGTGCAAAGTTGTTACAGGACAATTTAAGGCAGGAAAAATTAGAGAGGTCTTCTAAACTTCTAAGGAGAATTAAGTGGAGTTGTTTGATAACAGAACGTGTCAAAATGAACTTTGGGGATGCCCAGAGAAGTGGCTGCCCCATCCCTGGAAGTGTTCAGGGCCAGGTTGGATGGG